CCCAATAGAGCTGCAGGGTATTAACCCTGATCCGTCCAAGGCGTTAGAATGGAAGACAATCAATAGAAAAACTATTGGTCAAATCCGACAATGGATTGATCATAGTGTCTTCCATCATGTTGCACAAGAAACCGACGCATATGTCCTTTGGAGGAAGCTGGAGGACATGTACCAGGCCAAGACCGCTCGGAATAAGGCCTTATTGATGAGGCGCTTAGTCAATATGAAGTTGAAAAGTGGACTTCTGTTGCCGAGCATACCAGTGAGTTCCAGAGCCTGGTAAATCAGCTATCTTGTGTGGAGCTGCCGCTTGGAGATGAAATGCAATCTCTGCTACTTCTTAGTTCCCTTCCTGATAGCTGGGAAACACTCGTTGTTACTCTCAGCAACTCAGCCTCAAACGACAAACTTTCCATGTTCGTTGTCAAGGATGCCTTATTCAATGAAGAGGCAAGAAGAAAAGACATGGGCACAGATCAGACCCATGCCCTTGTGATGGAGAATCGAGGAAGACCACAAGGCAAGCAACAAAGAAGCAGTAGAGGGAAGAGCAGGGGTAGAAGCAAGGGGAGGCAATCAGATGATCGGAGATCACATGTGTGCTATCATTGTGGTCTATAAGGTCATATGAAGAAGAATTGCTATAAATGGCTCGAGGAGCAGGGCAAGAGCAATTCTCAGTTGAAGAATAGTTCTCAGCAGAAGAACAAGGGCAAGGGTGGTGAAACTCTTATCACTGTCTCAGGTGATGTAGCATATTGCTCTAACCATGGTGAGACATGCCTTCATGTCTCAAGAGAAGACATGGAATGGGTGGTAGATACTGCAGCATCCTATCACGTTACTCCCAACAGGAAATACTTCACAACATACCAAGCTGGAGACTTTGGATCGGTGAAGATGGGAAATTCCAGCTCCTCTCAAATTGCCGGAATTGGTGATATCCAGGCAACGACAGGAACCGGAAGTACAATCTTGTTGAAGGATGTCAGGCATGTGCCAGATCTTAGGCTGAATCTTTTGTCAGTGGTGGCTCTTGACAAAGAAGGATATGAAAATCACTTCGGCGCAGGCACATGGAAGTTGTCAAAGGGTGTTCTGAAAATTGCCCAAGGACATGTTTGCGGGACGCTGTACAAAACACATTTGAAGATCAGTACAGAAAGTCTCAATGTTGCAGAGGAGGTTTCTCAAGATCTATGGCACCAGAGACTCGGCCATATGAGCGAGAAAGGGCTGACTACCTTGATGAAGAAGAATCTTATCAAGGTTGATAAGAGTGCGGCGATGGGTTCTTGCAGTCATTGCCTGTTCGGCAAGCAACATAAAGTCTCATTCAATACAAGTTCAACAAAGAGATCAGAGTTGTTAAGCTTGGTACACTCTGATGTTTGCGGTCCCATGGAGGTTGAATCACTAGGTGGAAGTAGATATTTTCTGACTTTCATTGATGATGCTTCTCGAAAGGTGTGGGTATATTT